AATGGGGGTCACGGGGGGGTACAGGGGTCACAGGGGTCACAGAGGGCACTGGGGGTCACGGGGGGCTCTGGGGGCACTCCAGGCTTTGGGGTCACTCCGGGCTTTGAGGTCCACTACCCCCCCAGTTTTGGGGTGTTTTTGGGTTTTGGGGTCACTCCGGGGGTCACTCACCCCCAGTTTTGGGGTGTTTTTGAGGTTTGGGGTCACTCTGGGGTTTGGGGTCACTCTGGGGTCACTCTGGGGATTTGGGGTCACTCCGGGGATTTGGGGTCACTGCGGGTCTGGGGTCACTCTGGAGTCACTCCGGATTTGGGGTCACTCCGGGTTTTGGGGTCGCTCCGGTTTTGGGGCGTTTTCGGGGCGCTCTCACCTGCACCTTGTAGGGCTCCCCGATGATCCGCAGGGGTTTGTCCACGTTGGTGTTTTGGGAACCGTCCTGGATCAGGATCATCTTCACCCCCGCCCGCTCCTGGGGGCACCGGCACCCTCAGGGGGCGCACCCCAAAAAGGGCCAGGGGGACCCAGGAACGGCCGGGGGACCCCAAAAACGGCCAGGGGACCCCAAAAACCAGACAGAGAACCCCAAAAAGGGCCGGGGGGACCCAGGAACGGCTGGGGGACCCCAAAAACGGCCAGGGGGACCCAGGAACGGCTGGGGGACCCCAAAAACGGCCAGGGGGACCCAGGAACGGCCAGGGGACCCAGGAACGGCCGGGGGGACCCAGGAACGGCCAGGGGACCCCAAAAACCAGACAGAGAACCCCAAAAAGGGCCAGGGGGACCCAGGAACGGCCAGGGAAACCCAAAATCCAGAGAGAGAACCCCAAAAACCAGACAGAGAACCCCAAAAACAGCCAGGGAAACACAAAAACGGCCAGGGAAACACAAAAACCAGACAGAGAACCCCAAAAACCAGACAGAGAACCCCAAAAACCAGACAGAGAACCCCAAAAAGGGCCAGGGGGACCCAGGAACGGCCGGGGGACCCAGGAACGGCCAGGGGACCCCAAAAAGGGCCAGGGGGACCCAGGAACGGCCGGGGAAACCCAAAAACCAGAGAGAGAACCCCAAAAACCAGACAGAGAACCCCAAAAACGGCCGGGGAAACCCAAAAACCAGAGAGAGAACCCCAAAAACCAGACAGAGAACCCCAAAAACCAGAGAGAGAACCCCAAAAACGGCCAGGGGACCCCAGAAACCAGACAGAGAACCCCAAAAACGGCCAGGGGACCCCAGAAACCAGACAGAGAACCCCAAAAACCAGAGAGAGAGAACCCCAAAAACCAGAGAGAGAACCCCAAAAACGGCCAGGGAAACCCAAAAACCAGACAGAGAACCCCAAAAACCAGACAGAGAACCCCAAAAACGGCCGGGGAAACCCAAAAACAGCCGGGGAAACCCAAAAACGGCCAGGGAACTCCAAAAACATCCAAGGGACCCCAAAAAGAGCCAGGGACCCCAAAAAGAGCCAGGGGATCTCCCCAGGGGCACTTTTGGGGTTCCTTAATGCCCCAATCCCACAGGGAAACCCAAACTCTTCTCAGTGACCCCAAAACCTCCCCAGACCCCCCAAAACCCCCCCAAAACCCCCCTGTGTTCCCCAATCCCCCTTAAACCTTCCCCCCCCCTCCCCAAATCCCCCCCAGTGACCCCCAAA